CATTTAGACACATCACACAATCTATCATTTTGAGTTTGTGCTCATGAGACTTGGGACTAAAAAAAAGAGGGGGCAACTGTTAAAATGTACCAGCCTACAGTCGTTCATTAAAATCTCCTGTTTCTTTAAAATTAATTCCAGCAAATTATCCATGGCTGATCTATGTAGCTGTGTGTTCCCATTGCTGTTACTCTCATCTCTCCTCCTTGAGCCCATCCATTGTCTGCTATACCCAACTCTTATGCATTGTTTTAATCTAGATTGCAAAGTCATTAGGGCAGGGATTTACATGTAGTATGGGCCAGACACCCTGGTCTCTGCTTTTATCCCAGAATGGTGTAGAGCTGATGGGGCGGGGAGGGGGAGGGCAGGAGGGAGGAGTGACTGGAGCATGATGCTCTCCAGCAATGCTCAGCTGCTGAACAGGGCCTTAGAGACCGCTGCTAGTTCAAGTTAGAGTAGCCTGAGGGAGTATTAAGTGGCTGTAACCCATTACTCTGTTGTGCACAGCTGCAGGGAATCTTATCCTATGTATTTTCACAGCATCCAGTACAATGGACCCCATTCTTGACTGGGACCTCTGGGCACTACAGTAATACAAATAATATTAACAACAACTTTGGAAAGAATCTTGAACAACTTTTAATTCCCAGTGGACAGATGTCCACATCACACACAAATAAAAAAAAAGAAAAAACGCACCATAAGTGGCACTGATTGGCTGCCTCCAGAGAGGCCAACAAATGAATGGATCATGGAGAATAAATCATCCCCTCAACCTCCATTGGCAGATCAGTATGGGTAAGCTAACTATGTGTGCTGTACCTGCTCAGTGGATAAATGGAGATATTCAGGCTACGCTGCCTTGTCTCCACTGGAAAATTTGGTACCCAGTTTCCAACAACTGCATTTTAGCCTGAGGAGCAGTCTGGACAGGGCTCAGGTGTTCATAGCATCATGCCATGAAAACCTGTGCAGCCCTAGCTCCTTTCTTGTGCTCTTGGTCTGACTAAGAGACAGCCCTTGTAAAATACTATTTATTTGCTAAACACCGGCAACATCCTTGGCTCTAAAAGATGCATGCAAAGACAGCCCTTGCCCGAAACAGCTTAGGCAGAACAATTGAATTAATATCCTATTTCAATTTAAGACTTTTCCAAATAGCACCAGATAAATCTCACCTAAGGGAACAGAAGCTTCAATACAGGGCAATTTGTCTGCAGCTTGTGCTGTAACAACATTCAATAATGAGCCAGACAATAATACCTGGACTTCATACATAACGATGACAAAGAGCCAGCTTATAACTATTGAAACAATATCCTCATTAGCAGATGAATAATGATAAAATATTTATTTTTTCTTCCCCAATACTGTTTTCCCAAGAAACTGGCTTAATCCTTGAGCAGTCTATAGTGTCTGCCATATCTCTGTTTGCGTGCAAGAGTCCTCTGGGGTATTCCGTTTATTTTGTTGAATGGGGACTTCCTGTTCATGAAAGCCCAATAACATTTTTCTTCGTGTGCTGGGCATATAAATCATGCTGGTTAGATAAAGGAGTGGGAGTAAGTCCACCTACCTTGAGAAGGAAGGAACCTTGATATTGTTCTGTTGATCCCTGGATTCATCTGTCTCTCCCAAAAGATGTGTGTGGTTTGGTTTAGGGAACCAGGCCATGCATGATTTCTGCATGTTTAAGTGTGTTCTCCCCAAATTAGTGCTCTCTTCCACAGCGTGAAGGGAAAACTGATCTAGCACTGCCGCATGCTGGACATGTAGTAAAAAGAAATCAAACTGGAAGAGGTGGGGCTATCTTAATAATCTGTGTTAGAATTAGAGGATGTGCTAAGAACAGAGGTGTTTATGGGGACTGTCAGGCAGAAGAATATCAGTAGATGAATTGGTTGGTCAACTTTAGCCCTGGTTTATGCTTGCTTTCCCGGTAAGAACCCTGAAAGAGGGCCCCTAGGCAGAAAGTCCTCCAGAGCTTTGTTGGGCTGGTTTCAGTCATAGTCTTTGCGCTCTTCTGTGTGCAAGTGTAATTCACTGATTGGCTTATGTTACATGTCCCCTTCTGTCACGGATCCACAGAGTCAGATGAAGCCCATGCTACTGAAGGGGTCTCTGGAATTCAAGCAGTGGAGACTCATGCTTTTAGCTTTGGAGGTTCCCCTGTTCAGTCTCCAGTGTTGGCCAAAGTGGATGTCTCACAAAAGCAACAGCTCAATTCAAGTATGGGCACTTGTTGCTCAGGTTAGACAACGCAAGTAGAGGGGCCTAGCAATGGCCTCACTTCCTCTGCTGATAGATCAGCAATGTGGGGCAAGCACACGCTGTCTCCTTTTCATGCGGGTACACTGGCTGTGCTCCTCCAAGGCTCCTGGAGGTAGGTAGCTAAATACCTTGAGGACCTGGGCCATTGTGCCTGGCTCAGGCACCATGCAAGCTTCCTTTAGCATTGGCTGGGCTGGTTTGTCTCCATACTGCCCCCTACTGCAAGACTGCGCCATAGTGCCATACCTGAGTCTCATATGTGTTGCTTAGATTGTTTCAAATGTTAATACTATGCTCCTGTACATCCCCAACCACCCGTATGGGTAGACAAGTGGCGAACTGAGACTTTTTATGCTGTGCAGTGTTGTAGCCATGTCAGTCCCAGGATATTAGAGACCAGATGGGTGAGGTAATAGCTTTTATTGGACCACCTTCTGTTAGTGAGAGAGACAGCTGTCAAGCTACACAGAGCTCTTCCTCAAGCCTGGGAAAGGTACTTAGTCTCTGTCTACACTTACAACGCAGCTGCAGCGCATTTGGTGAAGGCGCTCTATGCTGACAGGAGAGAGCTCTCTCGTCAGCGTAATAAAGCCACCTCCGCGAGCAGCAGAAGCTATGTTGGCGGGACAAACTCTCCTGCTGACATAGCGCCGTGCATACGAACGCTTATGTTGGTGTAACTTGTGTCACTTGGGGTGGAATATTCACACCCCTGAGCGAGATAAGTTTTCCCAACATAGGCAGTAGTGTAGACATAGCCTAAGAGTCACAGCTAAATACAAGAGGGAACAGATAGTTTAGCATAAGTAGTTAGCAGATATTCAAAGGTACCATTCAAGGTGAAGTGGCCCATTAGCCCCCCTGTAGTCATAGGACAAAAAGGGGGCTTAGTGAGGCTATGTCTACACAACAGCCTATATCGGCAAAACATACTCGCTCAGGCGTGTGAGTATTCCACCCCCCTGAGCGACATAAGTTACTCTGACAGAAGCGCTCGTATACACAGCGCTGTGTCTTCCGCGGTTCGTGGAGGTGGTTTTATTGTGCCGATGGGAGAGCTCTGCAGACGCTATATCAGTACAGCTGCGCCGCTGCTGCGCTGCACACACAGACATGGCCTGAGTTACAGATTGTTGTAATAAGCCACAAATCCAGGGTCTTTATTAAGACCATGATTTTTAGTGTCTAGCTTACGGATTTAAGCTCCCAGGCTCAAAGGACAGCTGCACAACACCTTCAAAGGACAAGCCTGGGAGATTAAATTCATAACTTTACAACAGGTTTCAGAGTAACAGCCGTGTTAGTCTGTATTCGCAAAAAGAAAAGGAGTACTTGTGGCACCTTAGAGACTAACCAATTTATTTGAGCATGAGCTTTCGTGAGCTACAGCTCACTTCATCAGATGTATACCGTGGAAACTGCAGCAGACTTTATATACACACAGAGAATATGAAACAATACCTCCTCCCACCCCACTGTCCTGCTGGTAATAGCTTATCTAAAGTGATCAACAGGTGGGCCATTTCCAGCACAAATCCAGGTTTTCTCACACTCCACCCCCCCACACAAATTCACTCTCCTGCTGGTGCTAGCCCATCCAAAGTGACAACTCTTTACATAATCAAGTCGGGCTATTTCCTGCATAGATCCAGGTTTTCTCACATCCCCCCCACCCCCATACACACACAAACTCACTCTCCTGCTGGTAATAGCTCATCTAAACTGACCACTCTCCAAGTTTAAATCCAAGTTAAACCAGAACATCGGGGGGGGGGGGTAGAAAAAAACAAGAGAAAACAGGCTACCTTTAACTTTATGAGACACTAAAAATCATGGTTTTAATAAAAAGAAAAGGAGTACTTGTGAGATACTGGATTCATGGCTTATTACAACAATCTGTAACCCACTAGCCCCCCTTTTTGTCCTATGACTACAGGGGTGTTAATTGGCCCACTTCACCTTGAATGGTCCCTTACGAGATGTGCTAACTACTTATGCTAACCTATCTGTTTGAGCTTGTATCTAGCTGTGATCCTCTCCTTTCCCAGACCTGAGGAAGGGCTCTGTGTAACTTGAAAGTTTGTCTCTCTCACCAACAGAAGTTGGTCCAATAAAAGATATTCCCTCACCCACGTTGTCTCACTTTTTATGCTAACCTCTATCAATTTTATTATTACCTCAATCTCTCAGATCCTTCCGTTCCTAACTTATCTCTTTGGTTCACCTGTTACATCGTGTCTGATATTTCTCTGGGTCAGTGACTGTCTTTATTGTTACATTGTTTGTGTAGAGCTGAGCACATTGGGGTCCTCATTCTTGAGTGGGGTGAATAATCATAATGGTAATTAAAATACAGAATAATGTTAATAATATGGCCAGATTTTATAGCAGCAAGAAAAAGATGTAGCAAATTTCTTCCAAAGTTTTGCCTTTTCCCTGTTTCCAATTTCTTCCAAAAGTCTGATTCCTCAGAGACTTTTTAAAATATTTATTAACAAATTTTTACACATTAAAAATCAGTTGTGAAAGTAAATATAACCCAACTGAAAGCCAAAAAAAATCATGTTTGAGAATAACAAAAACTGTATTTTGACTCCAGAAAGATATTCTGTCCGCTGCAGTTATGTCACCGGCAACCTCCATGGTGGTTGCATATATTTATAACAGACACCAATGAGTCATATGTAAACATTTTGATTATAAAGATTTTCTTCATTTTCCCACAGACTTGCTGCTTTCAAACAGCTGTATCCCATTCCTGGGCTCAGCGGAGGGGTTTGATTTTCGGACCCTGCTGCTAGATGAGGAGAGAGGCTGGCTGCTAATCGGAGCTAAAGACCACATCTTTCTGCTCAGCTTGGTTGATTTAAACAAAAATGTAAAAAAGGTCAGTTTGTTTTCTACACAGTTCATCTGATAAGTTTGTTTTCAGCCCCTTTCCCGGTCCTGTGTTTTTGTTTTTTTCTGTCTTCGCTGGCTAAATGGCAAATGCGCTAAGTGATGCGTCCTCGTAACCGGACTTAATAATCTCACCTCCCATTGTTACATGGTTTGCTTTTAATCAACGGAGGTTGTCAGTGTGTGTGACCCCTTGTAGCAATAAAGAAATGTATTAGGTCGGATACCTATAGAGGCTGTGCACTTCATGAAACCAAAATATCAACAAATGGCAAGGACACCTCTCAAAGTATTTGTTTCTTCTTCCCTTTAGCCTAATGGAGACATTTGCATGACAAAAATTTAAAAAACAAACAAACAGTGAGGTCATTTCTGTCCTTGCTTACTGATTTCATTGGGGTTATGGGTCTAACTAAGCATACAATATGTCCCATTAGTATGTTAGTCTGCTTTGTTTTAAATGGCACTCAACATTTTGAAGACAATTTAAATATTCTTAACTGTACTAATAGTGAGAATTATTTGGGTTACAAGGGACCTCTGTTGGGTGCTACCATACATAGCCCATGCCTCTACCCTGGGTAAAATTAATTTTGTTACTTCTAGACCAGTGATTCCCAAACTTGTTCTGCCGCTTGTGCAGGGAAAGCCCCTGGTGGGCTGGGGCGGTTTGTTTACCTGCCGCGTCCGCAGGTTCGGCTGATCGCAGCTCCCAGTGGCTGCGGTTCGCTGCTCCAGGCCAATGGGAGCTGCGGGAAGCGGTGCGGGCCGAGGGACGTCCTGGCCGCCTCTTCCAGCAGCTCCCATTAGCCTGGAGCAGCGAACCGTGGCCACTGGGAGCTGCGATCGACCGAACCTGCGGACGCGGCAGGTAAACAAATCAGCCCGACCCGGCCCAGCAGGGGTTTTCCTTGCATAAGCAGTGGAACAGTTTGGGAACCACTGTTCTAGACCATATCTAAGAGAAGGGTGTCAGTTTAACCCTCAATATTTCCAGTGGGGATGATGATTTGATGCTTTTTGCACATACCTTTGGCTCCTAGTGTATAAAAACCAAGTACTAGCACAAAAACTCTAACTAAAACTGCTTTTTGATGATCACGTATATGTTTCTGATTGAAGAAAGTTAGATCCTCAGCTGTGTTTTATATTTTCTTTATATACAACAGGAGGCTTTAAAAGGTAAATTCTGCTGTGGGCTATACCAGTGTAACTCAGGGTGGGCCCGTCTGTCTGAAGGGAAGACATGAGAGCACTGTAGAAAAGAGTTTCTAATATCAAACTTCACAATCTGAATAGCTATTACTTATTCTTTTATTCCTATTTCTTTGTATGCTTTTCCGAATGATCATTTTCAATCGTAGAGCTCAATAGTATAGTCAGAATTGTGACAATGTACAAATGGCACCCATCCATCTCTTAGGCATAGTTATGGATAACAGAATTATTCCTGCTGCAGTTATTCCTACCATACACTTTCTTATCCCAGTTTTTGGCAACTGGGCAGTGGAAGAAGGGGAAATCACGTGTAAGGGAGGCAGATTTCTGTTTCTACAAGTCTTTACTTTAGCTAAACTCCCAATGATTTCAGTGGGAGTTTTGCTACTATAAGCACCACAGCATTCAGGCTGAAGTTACTGAGACAATTACTATGGAACCATATACTGCTATTTCTGTAGAAGTGCTTTCCAGAGTGTAAACTCACTTTATAATAGAACTAAAATTTACTTGTGATAACTCAAAATCAAATAAGTGAAAAACTGATTGATACTGTGATAATTTGAAATATGTAACTAATTAAAATGTGTAGATTTTAGTAGATCCTAACTTCACAGGAGGCTATGTGTGTAGATGTACCCCAGGATCAAACCCAGTTTTCACTCACAATTTTGCTATGGAGTTTCATTTAACTGTCTTGAGTTTTATCACAAGACAGCCACACAAGGTATATTTCGGCTGCTAAATGAGTGACCAAAGGTGCTGAGAACCTACTTATCCCATTAATTTCAATGGGAGGGGGAAGAACTTTTGTGTAGTGGACCATTTATTTAAATGCCTAAGTATGGATTTCAATGCCTAATTTTAGGTACTCAAGTTTTACAATATTGGCATCTATGTATCAGTCTGTCTGTCTTATCTGTTTAGTGCTGGCATCCATGACCATAATATACTTACACAATGATAGGGGGAGAGAGAGATTTCACGTACGTTGTAGCCTAAGGTTACTCTCCAGTATCAAATGCCAAAGGGTACTCTCCAGTAGCAAATAAGTGTCAGAATGTAGTGTTTGTCTGTGCTGTGTTTAGACTGACTGTGGTTTTGATTGGCTCTGTGCCACTCGGCTCAGCTGCAGCCTTTCCTTGTGTGAGGAAACCACACATGTTGGGACTACCAGGGTCTGAAGTGTCTCCTTTGTACTCTTTGAACTAAGAGTCTTCTGAAAAAAGGGTATTGTGCTATAGGTGTCCATTAGGGATAGAAGCAACATATCAGGATATTAAATTTCTTCCTGCAAATGGTACAATTACAAATGACTCTACAGAAGGATGATACAAGAATCCTGCTTAGAGGTTTGAGACGGGCACAAGAGGTTTGCAGTCAGACTGAAAGTTTGTATAACTAATGCCCAGGTTTTCATTCATCGGAGGGAAAAAGAGCATGAACAGTGTTTGAATTTTATAAACCTAGTGAATCTAGAGATGTGCATACAGGCTGTTACTCAGTTTTGGGGGATTCAGAAGAACAGTTTTCAGAGTAGCAGCCATGTTAGTCTGTGTCCACAAAAAGAAAAGGAGGACTTGTGGCACCTTAGGTTTGTTAGTCTCTAAGGTGCCACAAGTCCTCCTTTTCTTTTTTTAGAAGAACAGTTGTAACCCTGAATATCTAACTCTGAATATCCCCCTATTTTCTCTTAGAATGCCACTTTCTATACATTCACTTGACAAATTTACATTGTAGAGTCTGTTCAGATAAGTTACAGTATTTCCGGAATAGTATTTAAAGAAGCCTCAAAAGCAGGGGACCCTTCCCCCTTTTTTTAAAAAAATACCTTTTTACAACTTTCTGTTACAGCATAGTTAGTCACATATGTTGGAAAGAGACAGAGCAGCTATCCACTATGAAATTCTTGATGAGGAGTATTATTTTAATACTTTTTTTTAAAAAAAATATAGCTTCTGTATTCTGTCATATCACAGTTTCATCACCAATTAACAGATTTTTTTTCTTCAAGTACATGGTTTCTTTAATTGTTGTAGCTTTTAATCAGCTTATTCTAGGTAATTGTGGAGGTGATTGATAACTCCCGTCTATTAATGTGTCAACTGTGTTATGGTTGAAAAACTATCCCCTTTTCAGCACAGTCACGATCGCCCTGTAGAATGTAAAAGGAATGAATACCATTAAAATTATAGATCAATTAATTTAGGAATTTTTTAGATATTACTGTATAAGTCTATAGCACTTAATAGAATAGGATCACCTTTCTATAGCAGGGATAGAATTGTCTATGAAATTACATAGGACCTACAAACCTCAAGAGGGTTTTCTGTTAAATTCCATAGGGCTTTTCCATAAGAGAGCTCATAGGCATATGCCCTAATGTCTTTGTCCAAAGAGCTTAAGACACTTGACAAATATTGCAAACTGCTTATAAAGAAGAGACCCTGTGACTCTTTTCAAACAAATAATAACCGCAAAATCAGCATAGAAGTAGACAGAAAAGAGCACCAGTGGATGTTTGTTACAGCATGTCACTCCTAGGTGGTATACTTGAAGAACAGTAGTTTGTAACCATTAGAGGGTGTAGTTTAAAAGGAAGGCAGTAGAAAGGATTTTGAAGAGAGCATGCTCCTCACAATGATGAAGAGGTGAAAAGGAGTTTTGATAGGCATCTGGCTGGCTGAGTTCTTGCTGAAATGATTACTTCTATACCGATGGGATTCATTGCATTTATTGTATTGTTAGGGCACCTAGAGCCTTGGCTTATTATTTTAAATTTAAATGAATAAATAAAGAAAATAACTTCAGTCAACTGTACAAATGTTGGTGAAAATGCTGCACAGGAATTCCCATATTCCTCTGCATCTTATGTACTTACTGCCCTCAGCAGTGTAAGCAGGGTTACATGTTAGCGTGGTTATCACTGTGCGATCTACAGTGGGACCCACCCTTCTTTGCAGCAATAGGAATGCTATCAAGAGCTGACAAACTCCTGAAAAGCTGCCAACCTACAGGAGCTGTCAGTGCTAGAAAACACATCCACATATGGGCCAAACAGATAAACATGTCACATCCCCACGCTCTTCTTTGGAATGAGTTATTTTGACCTGCCACAGTGTGCACTGACATAAGGTCACAAATTGTTGTAGTTGAGGGCATCCTTAGCTTGCAGCTTGTTTTGTGGCAACACCATGTGAATGTTTGAGGGGTAGCATGTGGATTAACAGTCCTGTGATTTATCTCTTTTCACTTTTGGACAGACCCCATCCTCATATAGTAAAACAAACACTTGATAAGGGCCCCATTTTGCCACCCATTCTCAAGCAAAACTTCTATTTAAATCAGTGGGAGTTTTCCCTAAATCTGGACTGAATTAACAGGAATTTTAGCATAGCAGTAATGTGGGAGTGGGCCTGTATTAGGGCACTGAACCGTGGGGCTCATGCACACATGGAAGTGTGCCTGTTAAGGCCCTCAGACCAATTAGACTGGGAAATGTAGTTGCAGGTAAGGTGTCTTACAGGAAATTGGATACAGGGCTTCCTACCTCTTATGCAGAGGAGCAGACAATGGGGACCCAAGGTGAGGGAAGGGGCTCTCTGCACCAGTCAGGATGTAAGACCTGAAAAGAGCCACCTGCAAAGATCAGGAGCTACCTGGAGAGAAGCCTCAGCTGGGGTGGCCTGTGAAGTTCTAGAAGAAGTGCTGGAAGGGCTATGAAGCTAAGAGAAGCCCAGGGGGAGCAGTGGGACTGTTCTCGCCTGTGTT